GTATAAAGCTACCTTCAAATGATAGTTCTTGAAACGATCGTTCCAAATCATCCATAATTTTGATCGCAGGTTCAATTCTTCTTCAAAATATATCTACATATTGTAGTCTTCACTCTTCACGCATTTCTCACTTTTTGCAAAAATGGGAGCCGGAAATCTGCATATTCTGCCAGGCGCTTCGTTCTCCCGTCGCGTCCTCCCCAAGCACCCCTGCGCGCTCGCACATCTCAGCCACAGATCTCTATATTACGCTGAATGCAACCTTTATGTTTTCCAATAAAGCGCCTGGGTACGAGGCTGCAGATTTTCTATCACTCGAATTTGATACGATGCGCGTGCGCGGCGGCCATGCTGTATCAGATTTCTGGCCATTGAACCAAACGTTAGGTAATTTGCGCATTTTATGCAAGTGTAACTTAAATCGGTCTTGCAATTACACGCACGCATGCAGCATCAACAAATTAGAAAATAGAGAAAATAGATTGTTAAAACAACTAATTTGAACTTGCATACATTTTTATATAGATTCATTAAATTTTAGATTTGTACTGTTTTACAGTATACTAATTATAACGTAATAACGTTAAATAGAACATGTACACTCTAATGCTTATGGAATTTTTGTAGACTACATGACAAGGAGAGTTGATGTTTGATCAAGATAACTTTGGTTCAGTCGAACATCGTTAAATCGAAAATTGGTCCAAAGAGGTTTGAGTAATTTAATTGGGTGGTCACAAAACTGAGATAACATAAATAGGTGTATCTGCACTCAAAAACGTAAAATTTTTCTTATTGTATGCAAATTCGCGAGTATAATTTGTGTGTAGTCAGTGTAGATGCAACCTTATTAATTGCTAAGCTGAGACAGGTAGGACAAGCAAATAAGATTTTTCCAGACATGAGAGTCAATAGATGTATGTTACATTGATGCATCAACACTTGATGTTTCTGGAGAAGTCTTGCTTGGGTTATCGTAGGAAGGGGGCACAAATGGTGTCACAATTAGATGTCTCGAAGATGATGTGGATTGATTTTCTTTACAATTGTGAGTATAAACTCCCCTGTGCGTGCGTTTGGAATTGTCGTTTCTATATGGGCGACTGCACTGCTATATGCTCTGCAGAAAAATTGTGCGCATTTTGACACTTTAGAATCGCAGTTCTATATGGGCAGCATGCTATTCCTATATCCTTTAGTTAAAAAATTGTGCACCTTTGCGCCGGGATGGAGTATTAAGTTGCTTTACAGGGCGGAAATCTCGACTTTCGGATTAAGGAACGCGGTCCTTCCTATATCGACCTAACAAAAACTTCTTTTTCATACAGCCGGGGTATATATGTGTAGCGCAGATAGCGTATGCAAATAACATGTTATAGCTCTTCTACTGTTAATGTTTGGGCAGATGCTCTAAAGTATTGAAGGAAATAGAGTATTTCCTTAATCCTGATGAAATATTTAGAGATATTTTGTGACCACCAAAAATTTTTAGTTAAATATGAATTGACAGGGAGCCCATTTTTTCTGACAGAGGTCAAATGTTTTCAATAACAGCTAAATATTGCATCAATTTTAAGTACGGATTACAATAATCTGATTATACAGCATAAGACTATTGGATTTTAGTTACGCCCGGGAATGCAAATGCGAAATGAAAGTTGTCCGCCATTATGTCGTGGAGGTTGGGCGTTTTGTAAGTTATGCGCATGCGTGAGTTTAAGACGAGTTAAAACTGGTAACTAGCAAACGTTTGCAAGTGTGCGATTGGCTGAATTAAAATTTTGGTCACGTCAACATAACTGACATTTTGAAATATAAAAAACTATTTTTATTTCGATGATCTTGAAAATATACGAAAAATTCAGTCGTAAAATTGATTAAAATATAATGTGAAAGATGCTTTGTTGACCCCAAACTGATGTTCCCGACAAATCACAAAGTCTCAAACAACAATATTTAGTAAAGAAAATGTATTAAATTCACTAAGTCTTCGTCCGCACTTCTCGCGTGTCACACCCTCACTAACTCAATTTAAACCCCTTCCCTTAATTAATGTGATATATGATATTGTGCAGTTTGTGCATTGTTAAGTGCCTGCCCTAAAGGTATTTTTAGTGCTTATCTGTTGGTCAGTTCCCGACAAGATGCTTTCGGATAGAAAAACTTTGATTCAAAGGGATGGTAAAAAATCTACGATTTTGAAGCATTTTTAGAGTGTTTTTGAACAGGTAAATGGTTAGATTTTGTATTTTAAAACACTTACAAGTATTTTGTAAGTTTAATTTGTGGATTTATCAACAAACGTATTGACACCTCTTAAATTTATTTGTCAATTTCGTTAAAATTATTTTGATTGGGAAAACATTTATTTTTAAAGGTGAATGTGTTTAAGAAATTGAAATTTCGCTAAAAATTGTAGTAGAATATTTAAAACTATTCGCAGCACAATTAATGAATTATGCTAACAGTATAGTTGAATTTGATAGCTCGAGAGTCGACTTTATATAGTATACTTTATTGTACTTCATATAGTCATTTACTTATACGAATTTAAATTATGGAAATATATGTTTATCCCTTCAGGCGAGGGGTTGCTGCATGCATGTATTTCTAGTATGACTGTGTAGTCGTGTGCTCTCAAAATGAAAGCATGTATAACTACAGTCTAAAAAGCGATATGGCCGATATAGCTATATGGCAGAAAAATGGCGAATTTGTATATATCATATCACTTTTTCACAGTATAGCGAATACTATAATGTTTATACCTATACTATAACGCATTAGTTAGTTGTTTTTGCCAACATGGATCGTGAAATGCATAGTTTTATTATATATACATCTCAGATACGATGCTTAGTTAGAGTTTTAATGTATTTATCACACTTCACACATATTTCTTTACTTATAAATAATCAGGCAATCCCAGAAAGTTCTTCTCCTCTCCTCTGTCAATTGATAATGTTCCAATTAGACAAGTTACTTTTTCAAAATCTCTTGGTACATATATTGATGAAAATATGTCTTGGAAAATTCATATTAGAAAATTGTGCAAAAAAGTTGCCTCAGGTATAGGTGCTCTAAAACGTATAAAGCCTTTTGTTCCTCATTCCACATTCCTCATTTCACAGTGCCTTATTCACTACAGAACTGTTTAGTACTGCAAGCGTTAAGCTTGCCACACTCATCAACGACTGCATATAAGAGATGCAGATTTAATTAGGTCATGTTGCATGTAATTGGTTAAACTGGGTTAGTAAAAACTTCTTTCGATGCCGGCGTGTGGAAACAAGTTCATTACGCTAGTTCAAAGAGCTTAATTCAGGATGACATATGATTATAGATTTCTTGGAGGGCATAAATTACAGCGTTTAGTTTTATTGCAATGCGTTTGTAATTTGTTAATGTGATTTCTATTAGTTTAGATTTATCATAAAGTTTCGAACCTATAGAATTTCGTCATGTAAAGAAAAAATATCGCCTTTAAGGGGCCGGAATGTTGGTTTCAAAACGGAAGGTCATTCAAGTTGTTATTTTGTAAAAGACCTTCTGGCAAAAACAAGTTGTCATTTTCCGTTTCAGTGCAAAGATTTACATCAAATGCGTGAATTTGGTTAGCAAATGCGCAATGCGGTTACCTTGCCTAGCCACGCTATGTCCGTCAAAGTAAAACACTTCGCGGTTTCTATGTTTTGAAAATCTTATACAGTCTTTTGAGTGCTGTCTAAACAAAAGTAAAAGTAAAACAAAAGTTGAATTTTGAATGATTAAACTGTCTTCATGTTTTCCTAAGTATCGTTTAAAAATTAACATCCACTAAACAAAAACAACAAAGTTTATAATTATCATAACCTCGATCACTTTTTCTATTGAATTTGAAATTACATAAACAAAGGCAAAATGATGTCAACATTTTGTTTAGTTCACCTTATGCATGGGTTACTAAACAATAGATAATGATAGGCATTCACATTTAGTCAATTTTTCTAATATTTATTGTTTTATACACTGTATAATATTAATTAAAGCATTTCATTTAAGGTTCCCATATCAACCCTTATTGAGGCACATTTTCAAAAAAGTCACTTGAAAATCTTATAGAAATTTTAACGAACAATATATAACAAGACGCCTACTAGGCGTTATGATCGCGTCGTTCGCAGCGACGTAGCCAGCCCAGCTATGCAAATTTTGTGTCGTAAATGTTCTTAATAATAAAAATGAACAATATACCGAACTATAGTATAGGTCGCATGTTGAAAGCAGGAGAAACATCAACAGCCCATTTCAAAACCGCTCTACCTGTGCGCAGGTTCCCGATTAGGGTGATACGGCCTGCAGCTAGCGACGCTGGGGGTCGACAAAGGTTTTTTGCCTGTTAATGGGCTAACTCATTAGGCATCGGAATGTTTATGAATCTATCCACTCATCTTACCTTCCAAAAACTTCTCTTGGTATGCCAGTCAACAATAACAAACAAATAAAGATTATCCAATCTGTGTTTCGCAGAATGGCAGCCGCCCCTTAAATCTCTTGCTCCGGAAAAACGAACTCGAGTCAAAGAGCTAAGTATAAGGAACAATAATTTTTTCCACGGCCAATTGTTTATTTTAATGTGTCTGTCCACGGGCTATAGCTGTAAACTATACTACAAACCGACTCCCGGAATCCTGCATTAACGCTTTTTTCAAGAACGTACAAATTTCTCGAAATATTTTATACAGTATCAGACACTATCAGCTAACCAATTCGCCGTAAAAAATTAAGTCGTAGGTTTGTTAACACGGCAATGTTGAAGTCGTAGGTTGTGTTAACACGGCAATGCGGCAATATTGAAAGCCAGTCGATTTTTGGTTGCCGAACGACCCTGTACGTATATAACTACGTATCGACCATGTTTCAACCTTGAAACAACGTTGACAAGCGACATTGATTCGACGTCGTGGAAATGACCTTGACGTGGAAACAACGTCGATTTCCCGCTGATGATCGACGTCGCGACAAAAGTTCAACCAAAATTCCACGTCGAAACGAAGTCGTGTGCTCACTTGGTACCCATATAGGCATGCAGGAAACGGCGGATATCGCCTGTCAAAAAAGGCCAATTGTCTACACAAGTGTAGTGTCTGTTATTTGGCTTACACAATCGGCAATGTACGTCGCCACATCTTCCTTCTTAATGTTGAGACAACATCTATATAATTTGTCGATGGTTGACGTGATTTTGGTCTCCACTGTAGTTTTGCCAACTCCGAAGTTCGCGATTTCCTCGTAAGCGAAATCGCCAAAATTTGCCGCTAGATCTTTCCAGTTTGGCCTACCTTCAGGAGTGAGCAGCTCCACGAGTTTCATAAGAAAAGAAGAGGTTTGATTTTGCAGGAGCTGACCTGTAAACAGTACTTTATAACAGTATTCAATGTTTGTTTCGGGGTGCATTGAATTTCAATCAAAAAATTGAATCACACGGGCAGAGGCGTAGCCAGGATTTTGGGGAAGGGGGGCCAGCAAGAACATTGGCGGGGCCAGGCCGCCAGTGTCAATCGAGACAAGGTTTGTGCAAAACATTCTGTGCAGGATACTATGGCAATAATGATGAAAATGACATGCAGCCGGAAGTTTTAAAATATTGACGCCCTTACAACGATTCGCTTACGCCCCTACCCAAGAAAGATGTTTAGCTTAAACGGTGAACTGATAAGAGACTTGAATGTTCAATTTCCAAAAGAACTGCATGCATAATAATTGCAAATGAATTGCATATGATGTGTGTTCAGCTTAGATGGGAACGTATTTGATCTCTGGCTTCGAAAAACCGGCCCCAGACTAACAATCTTATCTATGAAACTTATTCATAAACTATCCCTGTGTGCAGCGATTACTTTACCTGTATGTAATTGCTTGTATCGTCGTTGCCCTGGCGGGAGCGCCCAGTAATCCTTCTCCCTGACATTGCAGATAATTTTTTTTCGTACACCAGTAGACGATAAAACCCACCGGAAGAAAAAAGAATATCAGTACCACCGCCGTGACAATGAGCAGTGTTAGGTTTGTGGATGAGCAACTGCTTTCATTTTTTTCTCCTGGTAAAATATTTGCAAACAATGTGTTGAAGACTTCAATTTGATTACGAAATCGCGATACATAATTGCATTTCCAATTCCATTTATCAGATATGACTCACTATCATTCCAACAAGTATCATACATGATTTATGAATGCTGAAAACTTACCTCTGTAATAAATAAGTCAAAGAGCGGGATATTCTTTTATGAGCCCTATATCAGAATAAATTGAATTATTATGTTTAAGAAGTCAATCCTGATTATTAAATAATATCATAGGAATTCATAGGAATGATAGACTGTATTTTTGGTAGCATTGCCTACAACCAGATGCAGTTACTTATTACCAACTACTCAACTATACTGACACTTTAGTTCGACAGGATCATTTTCAAAATACAACTGACCACACAAAATACAAAATCTGGGATTAAAAAGTAGACAGAAACCAAGTTTGCTAAACACAGATCATCATAAGAACTCCACGTACAACAACAAGGGTATCACTTACTGTTCCACCACAATTGAGTCAGCAAGGAAGCAATATTTATATCATCGATGAAATCTTTTGTTTTTCCTCCATGATACATTGTATGCACTTTCATTGTCTTATATAGTAAGGTTAGTGTAAATTGGGGATTGATACAATTATCAATCAGTCTATATTATCTATGATTAATTATTCTTCTCTATTTTAAGTTTTCAAAAGAGTATGTTGCGCGTAGACCATTAGGTATTAATTTCAAAGACTTACATGTACGTAAAAACGAGATATGATTGTAGTGGCGGGTAATTTTCTTCGCAATACGATATGATGAAGGTGTTGTGGTTGCCATGCCTGGTTTTAATTACCTTGAAGTCTTGTTTTCAAAGGAGAACCTGAAGGGAATATATTTTACAGTTTTACTTTTCCATCCATTTTTCCCCGAGCCGGCGCGAAGCGCCGTGCGAGGGTACTAATTTCGCCCGGAGATTAGGATTACACCCGGAACCCGTGAGAACATAGCGAAATGAAAGTGGACGGTCAACGGTGGACGTTCGACCTTTTTGCCAGTTATGCGCGTGCGCTGAAATTAAACGAGAGAAGACTTGGTAATCAATAACTTTCTGATTGGCTAAGACAAGAAGGCTAAAATTAAACGACTGAAGACTGGTTTTTAGTGAGTGGGAAGATTTTACACTTCATAATTTCTCACCCGGCCACATTTATTAAAAAGTCATTCTTTTCAGTTTAAACACAACTAAATATGCTAAAATGTATTTCACTATAAATCTGAATGTGTTATGTGATCGACGACATTATCATTTCATTATAAACTCCGTTTTTATAATGACAAAAAGAAAATCAAATAAATATATTCGCGTGCAAAAACCAGTCGAGACGTAACAAAACTTCGGAAGTTGTACGAGACGTCTGATGTTATATTTCAATGAAAAGTAATAATTAAAATAATTTACCATAATACTGATTATAGATGAATAACTTAACTTCAAAAAATGCTAAGAATCTTGTCGTATTTTTGCCCTTTTTTCCCAAAAATATGAGGGTAAACTAAACTTTATAAACCAAAATATACGGCCGTAACAAGTTGCTATGGCTACAGTGCTTCCACTTCCAAAAAAACATTTCCATACTTCTTTTCTCACATACCACGACATAACTATCATGTTAAATAATCATCCCTATTCTTAATTTCGTTTAACTGAGGCGAGGGGTTGCTGCATGCATGTATTTCTAGTAAGCCAGTAAAATGGCAATGATTAGAAGCTCGAATGAAAAGTAAGTTGATATCTTGAGGCAAAATACGTTTAACGCATGCAGTCTGTAATATTTCAATGTCCTCAGCAATTCGATATTTCCACCGTAATAAGGCGTAATTAGAGCTTGATATTAGATTTTTACCCTAAATATTTAAGAAAGGACTTTTTCATTGATAAGTATACGTAAGACGGGATTTCTACGTGACAAGCAATGATTGTCAGTGAGCTTTTTGAATATACAGATACAAACGTAAAAGATTTTAATAGTATAAAAAGAAGTATACAATATGATTTGTTAAGAAACAATTTATTAATGACGACACAATACATGAAAAACAAGTCACAAACTCAGCAAATTTGCCATCCTGGATTTCAAATTTACAGAGAAATTGCAAGGCTGGCTAACTTTTGGTATCAATGGTCTCATGAAATCACCACCTTGTCTCTCTTTTTTAATTCTTGAACTTCGTTTATTGGGGATGATACCTCCTCCTCTCTTGTCTTTTTTTTTCTTGAATTCTCTTGCTCCTTCTTACGGGGTATTTTACCATTTTTAATCCCAGTTGTCTTTCTTCTGTAAAATAATTTCATCTTTGACAATTTTTTTCCGAACTTCTATGACCGAACCTTCCTTTATTGCTTTTTCTACCTCTCTCGAAAATTTCTCAGGAAACGGCAACGATGAGCTCCTTTCCGGGGTATTTGGTGTTTATTCCTAGCTCTCCAATATATCGACTACCACCACTAACATTTATTATAAAGATATAGTAAGAAAAATTTCACATTATTAATAATACCGGACAGAACAAAAGGCATGCCCAACAGAACAATTTTTCTAAAATTAAGCTGCCACAAAGCCAATCCTTTTTGGAGTACCACTCCTTCATGAATGACATCCCCTTATTTTTAATATTTAAATTTGGTCGTTCCTTGACAATAACATTTTGTTCGACAGTTGGTCGAACAGAAAAAGATGTTTAACAACAAAGCATTTACAATATCGGATACACATGATAGAACAGAAAGTACTTATAGGCCGAATCATGTCACCCGGATTTTTCCTTTCTTTTCTTTTCATTTCCGATTCCAGAAAGGTTGGAATTTGATTTAAGTAAGACAAGCTTTATCATACGTTATCCCATATATTTCGACCGGAGTTTGTGACTGAATAATAAAAAAAACTTTCAAAAAACGTTTCAAAAATGTTTAATATTTATTTGTTTTACACCTTTTCATTTGACGAACGTGATGTTAGCCTATGGAGCAAGACATTTCACAAAAAATAGCTTTTTTAGTAATACTCCGGAAATAAATTTTAATGGTTTATTAATTTTAATATTTTGCCAATACATTGATTGAACTTATCCATAAAAAATTTTCGTTTTTTATAAAAAATCTAACCGTTCCTTGGAACGACACTTTCCATAATAGTATACTTGTGCAAATGTGGATTCTTTTATGCGGGATTCGTAAATTTAAATACAAAGGCTTTGACTGGGTTCTTTTCCATTTCAAAATAGGAAATTAACACTTTACTTACGTGCGTATTTGAAAGATACTTATTTCAACAGTCTTTGAAAACATTTTGAATTGAAATTATTGAAGTGATCGTGTCTTCAGAGAAACAATCAAGAATCCTAAAATATTTACTGCATTAGAACTAAAATTCTTGTTGTGTTCAGTTCGATCTTTGCCTGAATGTCTATTATCAATTTAAACTTTATGTTGCTTACCTTTCACGATGTATGTTGTGTACTTTTTTTCTCCTCCTACATGTACGTGATGTGCGTCCTTGTGTATTTTCGAAATTTATGTTTTGATAACTAATATTTCTATTGTATTGTGTGTCCGTTCTTCTGTTCGCGTTTTCAATTAGGTGACTTGTTCGTGTATACGTGCTTATTATTATTAAAAACTCCTTAACTCTTCCTCTTTTGTGCTGCAAAAAGTGTGTTCTCGGCGAAAAAACTTATTTAGTTTTGTCCGTGAAGAGGCAAAATGATTTCAACCTGAATTCCACTGGAGAACATACTCGATTCTTCCTGGTCCAGCTACAACGCCTCATAATGGCACTGGGGTGTATAACAGAAAAATCTCTTGTAAATATTTTCTGGAAAGAAAAAGTATACGGATTGGAAAGACGTATACGGATTGAAAAGAGTTCATTAGTGACACCAAAAAGATTTTGCGAACATCGTGTATCAAGAACACAATTTTATATTTGGAACTCTAAGTTGTATAACCTCCAATACAACCACTGGACTAACTGGACATTCTTTCTGAGGATAGAGTTCAAGTGGTTTTCTGTCTCTTGAACTTCAGTAAAAGAAGTATTTCCACCTTTATCTTAGGAATCTCCCCTAATCGATCACCATTGTAAACCGAATATCGCTTCCCCAGTTTACTCCTTGTGGTAAATGTTACCGATGGTTACTCTGGGATTTTAGAGGAACGTTTCACCTACGCATTCAACCCCTCATTATAGTTCATAAGAACTCAGAATATCTCAACCCATGTAAGAAATACCTCCACCACCTTGCCAAACCTACACCCGTGCTTAAACTAGCGCTTCTATAATCAACATGAACCACCATCAACAACTATACCAACTCAGTCTATCATTGATCGACCGCGATGAAAGATACTATGTATAACTGAACATAAGTTCAGATTTTGCATATATTATTCAGTATACAGTCACAATTCCAACAACAACAACACACAGGAATGGGTCATCTTATAAAACAATATACTGTACCTCGAGTCAGCTAAAACAACTATTTTACAGAAAAAGTTGCTGTCAAGAAAACGCGAAGGTGGAAAATATAGATTTCGAATGTGTTAATGCAATACCCAACTTGTTTGAAATGAATAATACTCCTTATGGACGTCAATTATAAACAAAGAACTACGGAGATCCTTACTGGTGATGATCCCCACAGTACATGGATGACATTTTTGAAAAATATGGAACAAATTACTATGCAGGGCTAGACGCTCGTCAATTTTAAAGAAGCCAAGCTGGGGCCGGATATGTATCCACACTTTGCACACATCAACTTGTACTAGGAATTGAGCAATGTTCAGGTTATCTCAGAAAGTGCTTCCTCTGTTTCATGGTGTTTGGCCTCAAGTCACACTGAAGAACGTGTCCCTAGCTCTAATTATAGCTTGGGAAGTTCTTGTAATTTTGTTAACCTTATGCTTCACTTTGAGCAATTATAAGGTGGTGTGGCGTCCCACATTTAGTGGGTGATTCATGTCAAATATGAGGCTCCTGGCTCATTATTATTTGTTTTTCTTTACATCTTTTGTTTGCTTCCAAATTCTCTTCAGTTCCTTCATTCATTAATTTCTTTAAGAGCGAAATTCAAATCCTGATATGATAAAATATGAATCATCTGAATCTCGTTCACTTCACCTTGCCGGAAAGAATCCACATTTGTAAAGTTTGATACAACAGGAACGGGTGCATTGATTAATTAAATGACAATATAATTTTGTCTCCCGTTTGCGTATTTCACGACAAAATCATTAAAATAACAATGAAATTAAAAAGCGGAAACATAGTTACAAACAGATATTTTTGTTGAATGTTTTGCTATACATACTACGTACACGATATCTAAATTGACTTGAAGATCACGAGGTATTTCTAGGTCTTTATGCCCGGTGTCACAGCGGATTTGGACCCCCCGCGGATATGGACCCCCGGTCCATATCCGCTAGCGGATTTGGACCCCCCCGGTCCATATCCGCTAGCGGATACGTACCCCCCCGCGCGCGATTCGGACCCCCCAATATTTAGATAAAATTATAAGCCGCTCGTTTCAAACATCTCGCTTTTCATGGGCCTGGCTATTGTTTTTGCCACCATAAAACAAGGCGCCGTCTTTCAAAACAAAAACTTTTCGGCTTTCTTTCTAAGATTTTTTTTATCTTTTCCAGCACTACTAGGATAGCTACCATCACAAAGATAATTAAAAATTTCATAGTAACAATTCTTTTCAGTCATCGCAAAGTGTGCCACTTATAAGACCAACCGCAAAATATTTAGTATTTACTGTCCTTCTATCACCAAGATACAACGCACGTGCTGGTTCATATGGTTGTAAATTTATTATCGAAATTAAGATACCTAATAGCATCAATTAACT